GCCGGACGCGGCACCAAAATTAAAAAAAGAAATTAAAATAATTTAAATTGTAAAAACATTTACCTTGCTAGAGAAGTATTCTTTGCCGAGGTCGTGGAATTTTTTTCGACATGTTTTCAGATTTTTTTTAAGCTCGGATCGCTCCTTGAAGTTACGTGAATTTAGATAGATAAAGAGATAGGGCTAAAGGTAAAATTGTAAAAAAGGGGTGATACGTAGTAATAGGGGGTGGTGAATAGCCATTTACAAATCAAAACAATGACCAGTGGATGAAGATAAACAAAAAAAAAAAAAAAAAATATTATTCAACACTTTTTTTTTTCGCCCTTGAATTAATGAGTTACAACACATAAACTCTATGAATATTTTACACATATTGTCAATTTCCAGGAATTCTTCAACGACAATTTTGTATTATAAAAATTGTTCATTTCCAAATTCAGTCAATTGTGTGTTATGAAAATTATTCCCAAACTCATTCAATGATACGTGCTTCCAGAAAGAATTCTTCGAAAATTGACCCAATTTTACCAAATCGATCCGGATTTTTGGTTTTATTTTCCATACCTTCAGACTTTTTTTTGGGTAACCTTTCCCTTTTTTTTCACACAAGAATTAAAGAGGTAATGAAGGATTGGTACACATCCCTTTTTTTGTACAAGAAAGGGGAGACGGTGACTCTATCGCTGATGCACAATCTCTTTTTTCGGTTAATTTCTATTTTGATTTTAAACATATATATATGTATTCAAACATAAGTTTGATGAAAGGCGCACGCTTAAAGTAGTTCTTTGGGTTTCAACACTTATATGGTCCAAGTAGGAGAATGTAATAATATTTTATATATTATTCTATTATTGTGCGTCATATAATTTGTTGGACCTAATTGAACTAATAGTCAAACTTAATTAAGGTGTGTATGTATTTAATGGATTATTAATGTTCTAATATTAAAGAGTCCAATTTGTGATGTTTGACTTGGACAGTAAGTTAAGTTAGAACATGAGGAATGTTAGTAGGATTAAGATTTTAGGTCTCCTCCAATAT